TGGAGTCCATCTAAATGAAAACATATGAACATCGAAAAGAATCAAAAGCTCATGTTTTTCAGGTAAATAATCAAAGATTAATAAATAATGAAAAATAGGATTAAATAGCAAATATGAATGGAATAAATAGGAATAGTAAATGACAGAAGCGATAAATTTACACAGAAACTGATAGTAGAATAGACTACTGAATTTCAACTGTTTCAGAGTTAAAGATAGTGGGCACGATGGCTAAAGGCGGGCGGTGACTGCAAGGTTATTGGTGGAAGGGCTGCAAGAAGCTGTTTCGCCACCCCGCCCAGCCTTCCACCAATGACGCTAGCAATAACCGCCCGCCCACATCCTGGCGCCTACTGCCTTTACCAGCCCCTCGGTTCACCACCCTATGACGTCTTTGCTGCACCCTTTCACATACTGACAGTGGTAACCTCGAATGAGCCGTCGACAGAAGAATCCTATGCAAGTACCGGCGTCTACAGTCTTGTCATACTGGGACAGTATCAGTATTATGGTTTGGTTTGGCGTGGCGCCAGCCGGTTCTCCATCACTTGTTGAAGCAAGGGGCAAGCGACAACAATTTGTGGACGGACTGGCGCCGCGCCTAACGCAGCCCACCTGACACGCCCCATGATCCGCAGCGATCAGTACTGTATCTTCGGGTGATCGTACACCACGTCCGTCTTGGCTCAGTCGTCAGCCGAGGAGCATTTAATGAGTGGTGCAAAAGGGGCTGGCGTTACGCCAAAACCCACGCGCCGCTGACACGCCCCGACAGTTTTATGGTAAGAGTGTGAAGCAGAGAAGCGCGTCAGTGGCGGCATCGCAACGGTTGGCACAGTCCTCATTGAACTCTGCTCACGAGTTCAATGCGGACTGTGCCTTTCATTAAGTCGCTAGGACACAACATAGCAAGAGAGTGCTACTTATATACCCCTCCCATTGGAGCATTCCATTTTTATGCTATTTCGGTGTGAAAAAAGAGTTTCAGCTGACAAGCGCTCCACTGAAGTGGGGCTGCGATACGTGGGAAATGATGTCCTTCTCATGGCCAACTCCATGGGGCGTCGCGATGACAATGCAGGGTCCATAAATCACCACAGCGCTACCATAGCGCGTCCAGCATATCTTTATTGTGCCAATGTTATGGCTTATGCTGATTCTATATGGCCGTGGTTTGCAGCAGAATTCTATAGAATTTTTTTGAAAACCTGAACTTTGCAGAATTGCAGCAAAATACAAAACCAAACGCACTCATGCAGTTTAACAACACAGCCCACACATCAAGGTTCATTGATTCACTACGAAATGCATCGTGATGAGTGAGTGATACGTCAAAGGTTCAATGAGCCGTAATGTTCCATAAAAAACGAATAAAATCTGAAGAAGCTTTCTGCATCTCCTCCTCGTTCCCATTTTCCCTCCCGGGAGACCTGGGAATTCCTGTATAAGTTTATGCAAAATAGCAGGAGGCTTCGTCACTCGTTGACAAGAGTTGACGAGTCTCCCAAGGTGTAAACGGTGTGAAAAGCAGAAGCAAAGAGAACTAGCGAAGCGTAGAATGCCCCTCCAAGCCGAAAAGGGCCGCTTGTATGTTCACATGCAAATTGCTCTCAGCCGCATGGCTAAACCTTCCAACCGATAATCTCTAAATTTAGCCAGGCAACCAGGGTTGGCACCAGGTTGGAACATGATATGCCTAGTGTTATGGACGAAACAGCTAACGAAGGTGCTATCTAGCTGTAACAATGCCAAATGCGAATGCCTTCTTTCATATGATCGAAATAGGATCCCCTCCCGAAGCACCTCTACGTGTGGTGAGGGGGTCTGGTCGCAGGAGAGAGGGAATTGTATTTGCCCTTGGAATAATGAATTTCCCCTCCTACATCGCGCGACCGCAACTTTATGGAGAAAAGTGAAATTTTGAAAAAAAAAACAGCGGAGCGGCAGAAGGTTGAGAGAATTGGAAAAGGGTATGCAGGATAAAGGTTGGAGAACAGGAGAGGGGGAGGGAGGGGGAGGTTGTACCACAAGAGGAAATTTTGAAGCGGTCTTTTGTGAAATTCTCAACAGAACGTGCTCCAATGGCAGAACATACCCCGCGCCATCCACTCCACAGGGACACCCCAACGACTTATTGCTTAAACGGACAAGGTTCGAGATAGTATGGGGTACCAGGCGAACCTCGATCAACAGGCCTCCCCTTATCAATTTTTCACTACAATATGAGCCAATGAAAGTCAATAATGACGAACGGGATGGGCCTTGCTCAGCACTTGTTTGAGATTGGATAACAGAAATTTCGGTGACAGTATTTCGGAGGGAGCATTTGAAGGACGCCCTTGGGCTAATAGTATGTTGTCCTTTCTTCGAGTAGAATCACTGCGGGTGCTGGATACTGCTGCAAGCTGCCTATTCTCCCTCTGCGCCATCGACAAAATCTTTAGTCCGCTATGGTATACTCCACATGTGACCTGAAGGAAGGCTCTTGCGAATGCCCCTCCAAGATCATGCATGACTCAAGAAAAGTTCAAGGTTTTCTGGAACTAACGTTGAGTGATCCGCATTGGGCATCCACTTCCGATTCATAGGCGTATCGAGAGTAATAGGCAAAAGTGCCAATACACAAGCGTCTTGTGGCATACCAGAGCCCTTAGCGGCTAGTGAAGCAGTCAGTTGGTGAACAGCTGCTTTAGCCATACCGTAACCAATCATATTAGGGGTGCCATGGGTTGCCTAAAAATCAAGTATTACTGATGCATGGAGGACCATTCCGCGATAACCGGATGGCCGCAGATCAGGGCGGAGATTCACAATCACTATGCCTTTCTCATACGTGCGCTACTTCTTCTGATTAAGAACGCAGGAACACAAGTTGGTTGCGAATCTCCGCCCACTTTTTCGCCAACCCAATTATCGCGGAAGTTTGGTCCGAACCAAAAGTGCGACAATCAAGCTCACCCCAGAAGCACCGGTCAACTGAAGCAAACCACCGGGTTTCAGGTGTTTGGAGGCGAGCCTGGCCGCTATGGCGCTACTCCAAACCGACTGTCGCCACATGAGATCAGCATTCTTGATGAAGTCTTCTGATTCGGCGTTGCCACCAGCCCATCCTCCAGCCACACAGAAAATCGCGTCTACTGGGGAATCGAGTGCCGCGGAGACCCTGAAAAGTACTATGACTCGCTCCCGTGATTCTGGAAATCGTTCTACAAACTCCCATTGCTAACTTCGTACTCACCCGCTCATAATGTTAGCCTCTTGGGAGACCCAATCTTCCTTGCCATCGACCAAAACGTTGATGTGCGCTGTCTCATTGGCCACAAGATCAATGCTCAATGTCCACTAAATGACGACATCAGCTTGATCTCCTCCTTCATGGCTGGAAAAGACTCACGAAGCCGCTTTTCTTGAAGTGTTCCAAGATTGTGCTGCCAAGAGCTCCTCGTCCACCATATACAATCACCTTTCCGGCGGCCATTCTGACAGCAGCACTGAAATACGGTAATGATGAAAATCCTGAACGTTCTTCACTGCAGCAGTGATTTGACAAGAATGACTGTGAGTCAGGAAGTTCGAGTTGCGGCGAGACAGCGAGAACACCGTTACAGGGAGCAAGGCGCTCCCCTCACATAGCCGCCCCGCACCTCTCAACATTGTGGTATAGCGAAAAGGACAAAAAATTCAAAAAACAGAAAAACAATTTTCACTGGTAGTCAGCGGTGGTCTCGGCAAAAGCTACCTTCATCCAGACATTACACTCTAAGACTCTGATAAAGGCGGCAAGACCTGAACGTTAAAAAAAGTGATGCCATTCTGACGTCACATTTTAAACGAGGGGGGGTACAGCACATGTGAAACGGGAAAGGCGCAAAAAGCCAATCAACAACCGAAAAACGTTTTTCGCGCGCAGAAAAAAAATTTCACTCTGCAAGAAAATAGATGTTTTAATACGGTTTTGTTACTTTTTTCTGGTTTCGCTTATCTCCTCCTCCCTCGTACGTCGATGAGCTTTATCGGAAACGGGAGACAGGGAGACGAAGGAGGTGGGTAAGGGTAGAGGCAATGCTGGAGAGTGCGTTCGGAGGTGAATGGGGCTGACCGAAAAATTTCCCTCATCACCATGGCATGCCATGATTTATCCCACGCAGTGCTCCTTCGAAAATAGAAATACATCAGGACTTGCGAGTGCACATAGAAAGTGGGAGTTCGTTGAGCAGTTGGCTCAGTATGATCAGAATTACTGATAGGGAGATGAAAGAATATTGTAGTGCTAGTCAGTTTCTTCAGAATGCGCCGTGCGCGTAGATTCTGTACAGAATGGCAGGGGTGTTTGAATGCGTCTAATCCGCGAGGGGCCGTACGACGGTCCTCCGACAGAAAACTATTTACGTGCACGAAATAAAAAATTAATCCCAATAATCGCACTTCCAACGGATATTGTTGGAATTGACTGGAAGGAACTGAGCGCAAAATTTAGCATTTACCGAATAGAAAACGCATTGCATTTCCC